TACAAAACGAGGATTTGTAAAGAAGAATGTCAGAGGATTTCGATATAAGCCAAGAAGAGACTGGTTTTCCTTTGCTAAAGTAAGGAAACTTTGCTTCCTTTGCTTCTGTTAACAAACGTTGGTTTTCACGAGACTCACCGGCGCATGCGCAACACTGAACTCATACATCATTCGCGCTTTTTTTTTATGGATGAGCGATTTTTATTTAAGTTCTTTTGGACTGAAGCAATGTAACACCCGCTACATTACAGTGCCATTAAACATCTTGAAAGATCAAAGACAATTTTTAATATAACTCCGACTGGATTCGTCTGAAAGAAGAAAGTCATATACACCTAGGATGCCTCGGGGGTGAGTAAAACGCAGCCTAATTTTCAGTTTTGGGTGACCTAACCCTTTAAGAGAGCATTACATCCACACAAACAAAGTCTGCAAGGTTTCAGATCAAATCTAAATCTTTTCTGTGTGTGCATTGTGACACTATTTTTATAATAATAACAATAGTTATATGATGATCATGATTATTAAAACATCTTATTTAAATGGCAAAGTACTTACAGTATGTGTCATTGTAGTATTTGCTGTTTATGCTGATTAAAAACATTAATAATTATAGAAAAATGTTTTTTTTCTGGAAAATAAACCACATCACCCCGAAAAAGTCTCATTACTGTAACCATTTATAATAATAATAATAATACTTCATTTTTTTTGTTCTTTGTGACATTATTTTCATGACAGCTAAGAATTATTAATAATAATAATAAATGTTATTTAAATTGCAAAATAGTTATGCATCATGATAGTATGAGCTGATAAAAACATTAGATTTTATAGAAAATTTACTTTATTTCTGGAAATGGATAAATCATATTACCCTGAAGAAATCTCATTACTGTAATCATTCAAGATAATAATAATAATAATAATAATACAGTTTTTCTGAATTGCTAAAACACATTTCTTGAAACCATCACTCATTTTCTCAAAACCTTAAACACAAATCCAAATACTCAAACTAAATTCACGAAACCTCTGACTCTTCCATCAAAATCAAACAATCACTGCAAAACCATTTCACTTGCACTCAAAATCAACCGGTGCTCTCAGATCACACACACGAGTCAATCAAATAAACACTACAGAGCATTCATTAGACACCACCGAGAAAAATGGAGAACACAGCATCCAGAACATTAGAGAAAAAAAGTATATTGTATTGAGTAAGCAATTTTGAAATTCTGTAAAAAAGTATAGTAATTGCAACTGAGTAAGGTGAATATATTGTATAGGCCAACTGTATGTA